CCAAACAGTGTTTGGTGCTTCACTTCTAATCCTGCACATCCCGAGCCAGCTGGGCGTCCCCGGGCAGCACGGGAGTGACACGGGGTGACAGGTCAGCAGTCGCCCGTTTTAGCCCGGTGAAGCCGGGTGGGCTTGTGTTGCCAACAGCTGCGGGGGGGGACGTGGTGCAGCTGCAGGATTGGCCTGGGTATATTTGGAGCATGACTGGGGCTTTTGAGGCCTGGGATACAGTCTCCTCTTCAACTGTGGGATGGATCCTGCTTTGACAAGACATAAAACTTCTGTTTCTGTGCTCTTAGAGTGTCCAGGAGCAACAGTGTCTGGCGTGGAGCCTGCCCTTGGATGAGATGTATGTATGCATGGCTAGAGGATTTTAAGTTTATCTGTATGTCAGCTGCTTTCACATCGTTCTGTAAAGCAAAACATGATGGTGCCTGTTCTGAAGCCTCATTTGCTTTTTTTTTTTTTAAAATACATTAAAATATTTGAATTTTTCCACATTTTCCTTAGACCCGCCTTCCTGGAGCACAGTGTTGTGCTGTCCCGTACCCACGCCACGGGTCCCACTGGTGCTGCCCCCGAGGGCACGCGTGGTGCCGCCAGCCCTGCCAGGCTGTTGGAGGCGGCATAGCACGCGTGGCAGCAGGGCAGGGCTGGCGGGCTTTCTCTGGGGTTTGGGTGCAGGTAATTAGGGAAGAGCCATCCCAGCGCAGCGCTGGAGGATGGGCAGCGGCCTGACGGTGGATCGGGGAGGGCTGCAACGCTGGCCGCTTCTCCGGCTCCGAGTCTCGGCAGTTGGGGCCCGTGAGCACTGTGCAGACACATCTCGGATACAAGCAGGCTTTACCTTATCTCTGTTTATTTATTATTTCCAGCCAGTCCCAGGGGTACATGAGTTCTTCAGCTGATGGACAGAGGAGAGAGATGGGTTTGGAACAGGGCAGCAGTCAAGCATCATAAATCCTTAATGTTTGAGGAACAGATCTTTCCATTTGCTTCTGTGGGGAGAAGAGAGCAGTGCAAGTTTCCTGCCTGAAGGGAGTGTTGTGGCAGCAGAATCCCCGCGTGGGATGTCCCTCTGCCAGCCTTACGCGTACGCTTCACGAGGGAGCCGGCTCATAACGGCACTGTTGCCACAAAATTTACCTGCCCGGTTTAACCACAGTGCTACAAAAAGGAGCTTTCACCCTGGTGCTCTTGCAGGATTCATGAAGGGTAGCGTTAACAGTCTGACAGAAGCAATTGCAGATGGCCTGGGTGAAGTTTTTGGTAGGGCAGGGGTTTCCAGGTGTTCTGACAACTCCCACGGACTGTTGCTAGCCGCACGTCCCGCTGCTGAGATGGTTTGTGTAGTCAAACCCTCGCTGCTGATCTCCCCGCTCATGGGGCAGCTCCTGCTGGCTCTGGAGTCAGGGCTGCGCTGCTGTTCCTCCCCGTTGACGTTGGAGTTGCTGGAATGCCGCGGCAGTGTCCTTCAGGCCGTTCTGCAGCACGGTGGCTCCTGGTGGACCAGCTATGAAGCGTCTGGCGTAAGTCAATCAGAGGGCTTAGGTGTGGAAGCAAGGCGTGCAAATAGCAGTGGGAAGGGGAAAATAACAGCTGCCAAGTGCTAGCCAGTGGCTTGTGGAAAATGGGGCACAAGTTTCCAACTCGCAGTGTTCCCCTGCCCTCTGTCCTGGCTGTGCCGTACGTGTGTTGGCAGACGGGCAGGTGCCCAGTTCTTCGTCTGGGTTTGCTGGCCAGCCAGGCCCGAGAGAACTGCGTTTCACAGGCTGGCGTGGTTCGGGTATCGCCGCCTCTTGCTGTCCTGACCGGAATGGCAGGTGTAGAGCTGTCCCCAAGGTGGAATTTCCCTGCAAAGGCAGCGTTTCAGCGGGTCTTGTGTGTCGGGGAGGACGCAGAGGGAGCACTCGGCGCGTTGCAGCTGGCGGCCTTGCCATTTTCGGCGAGGCAGGGAAGAGGACGGGCTGTACGGGGTGTTTGGGCCGGCATCCGCTTGCATTAGCCAGGAGGATGTGGCTGGTTAGCCTAGCACTGACTGCCCTGTGGCAGCCGCTGGGAACTCAGGATGGTCCCAGGCTGGAGCTTGTTCCAATCCCATCGGAGAGGATGACGATCCGAGACCACTAGCTTAGCTTTCACGAAGGATGCTTACTCCCCTTCCGCTCAAGGGGTGAGTCTAGCGAGAGACGCAGCCATGGGGATGGGGACGGGAGCGCGTTCTACAGCTCTTCGCTCTCGGGGAGAATCCGCGCCCATCCTTGCGGCACTCTGTTGAAGTTGCGTCTGTGGGAGATCACTTCCAGAGCGCTGAGGTTATCCAGCTCCATGGTGGGCACGGAGAAGGGGTCGCTGAGCAGTGCCCTGTCAAACGGGGTGGGAGTCCTGCGGCACGGGAAAAGGTGGAGTTAGCAGGTCAGGAGGAGAGGTTGTGCGTGTTGTAAAGGCGATGGACAAGCAGGCTCAGCATTTACCAACAGCCCAACAGCCACCTAGCAATGCCTGCAGCAAGCGACAGCCCTCCTCTTCCTCGCCAGGCTGCCGTTGGACTCTGTGCCAGCCCGGCGAGGCGCCGCTCTTGCGCGGAGCCACCCTCGCCTCCAGCTTTGGGCCTGGCGAGTGGGGTTTGGCAACCCCCTGGTCTTTAGGAAGTGGCTGGCCCGCAGCGACCCCGCTCTGCGGAGGGCTGAGGCTGGCGGTGCTGCCTCCCCCTTGCTCTAGCGCATGGAAACGCCTTTCTCCTGGCCCTGGCCCCAGTCTGCCTTTTGGGACAGCATCCCGACGACTGTGATGAACAGGAGGAGCAGTGTGGGGGCAAGAGCTGTCATCCCTTCCTGGAGAAATGTGGAAAGGGACCGGGAGAAAAGAGTGCCAGCCCCCAAAAAGCCACGAATGTTGGTTTTGGAGCAGCACATGGAGGCTGAGCTATCGATGAGGCATAGTTGGGAATGTTTGCTTTGGGAAGCGCTGCTGCGACATGAGTAACGTGGCACTGTTTTGCAACAGTGTCCTAGGGAGGAATAAGAGGGGGAAAGGTAAACGAGAGAGGTTTGTTCCAGAAAAATTCTCCCTTTTTGGAGAAGAGAGTCCTTTTCAAAGCGTGGTTTTCTCTCTCTTAAGGCAGCACGCCTTAACGAGGTGGCTGAAGGTCTGTGCGTCACAGTTGGGTCGTTAAAAGTGGGGATAAATGGCTCTGCTTTGCCGCAGTTGCTGTTGAGACAGTGCCCTTGCCCTGTGACCCGTGTGAGCGGCGCTGGAATTCACCTAGCCTTAGGCCAGACCGCTGCCCTCTCGCTAGCTGAGGTCTGCCCCGACAGCCTGTTTCCCTGCAGCGTGCTGTTTGAGGAACGGAGCAGCGATTCAGAAGCCAACAGCTTGGAAGATGGTGAAAAGCCCGCTTAAAAGCAGACTGGCTCTTTGAATCTTCATGCCTCGGTGAAGAATTAGAGGAGGTGGCGAGAGGCTTGGTGTTAAATTAGCCTCCATCTGTATTAAATAACAGTTCAGGACTTTAAATAGACGGGCAGCATGTGAGAGGGGAGAAGGTACAGGGTAAAGCATTATTCAGAAACATGCCCGTGCTCCGGTCCCTCTCCGTAAAGACATCCTGAGGCAGGAACACGGCTAAACGTTGAAAGAAAAGAGCCAAGTGGCTGCAGCAGCTCCTTGCTCTCCCCCTACGGCACCTCCTCGGATGGTGCTGCTCCAGGGAAGCTCAAGATGGCTGAGGAACTGGGAAGGAGGCCCTGGGGGAACGGCTAATGCAGCTCCTTTGCTGCTCCACGCTTACCCATGGGTCCTGGACCCTTCTGCTAACCTCATCTCTGCTCCAGTGCAAACCAGTGCGCTGCCACGCTTCACTGGTGTGGAGGGGGTAACCGTGGGGCTGAGTGAGTGTGGCTCTCGGGTCGATTGTGGCCCCCTGGGACAAGGTTCCTGGGCAGAGGAGCTGGAGTTCCCAGGGACGAGGCTCCCGGGCAGAGGGGCTGGAGTTCCCGAGGACAAGGCTGCCGGGCAGAGGGGTTGGAGTTCCCAGGGACGAGGCTGCCGGGCAGAGGGGTTGGAGTTCCCAGGGACGAGGCTCCCGGGCAGAGGGGCTGGGGGTCCCAGCGACAAGGCTCCAGAGGGGTTGGAGTTCCCAGGGACAAGGCTCCCGGGCAGAGGGGTTGGAGTTCCCAGGGACAAGGCTCCTGGGCAGAGGGGTTGGAGTTCCCTGTGTTAAACCACACCGGGGCTCAGGAAAGCTGCAGGGGCCCAGCACCGTGGCAGATGGGGTGATGGGGAGCAGAGCTGTGTCCCAGTATGGAGCTACACTGGGAGCCTGCTGGAAGGTGACTTAGGCCAGGCCACCAGGCAATCATATCCTCATGGAAGAAGCTTTCCTTGAGGAGAGCCAGGACCTCGGTTTGCAGATTTCCTGGGATGACGTTCAGTTCTCGTTATTCCACCTTGGGCTGCTGGTACTTTGCTAGCAGCGAATCTCCATCTCCTGAATCCCCACCGAGCACCTTTCCAGAGTGCAGGTTTTCCTTGGCAGTCTCTGCTTTGGGGTCCTAAGGTCGACCCCAGTATGATTTGGAGGTGCGAGGAGGCACGGCAGCCGTGCTCTGCCGGAAGCTGCTGCAGGGCATGGCCCTGGCCAGGCTGAGCCGCCAGAAACTCCTCAGCCCCGAGACGTGGGTCTCTAGCAGGTGTTTGGAAGGAATCTGGTGACCTCTTAGCACCTTGTGGGAAGATTAACCTTCCACCCCCACTGCTTCCAGCAGCTGCTTGGATACCTTAAGGAAATGAGGAGTGAGACTTGGCACTGCCTGTGCCATTGCTCCAGCCTCCGGAGCTGAGCCCGACTGGGAGCAGCAGCGATTCCTTCTGTGGGACCACGTGCGTGAGAATTAGTCCTCCCGAATTTCAGCCGTCGTCCCTGTGAGCCCAAGCTGCTTAAGGCTGCGCAAGCCCAGTGACGGAGCTGAGATGTGGGGAGCTGCTGGATGTGGGGAGCTGCTGGAAGCAGGGAGCCACGGCGGAGCTCCAGAGCAGGAAAAGAGCAACCTGCTGCTCCCTTGGGGCGTCTCAAGGGCACGGACCACTGCCATTCCCTGGCAGGAGGGTGGGTGTTCCTTGAGGCTGAAGGGCTTGCCAGGGCTCGGAGCAGCTGGTGGTGCCTACTCCTTGGCACTGTTGGCGTTACCTGTTGAAGCTCCTGAAGTCCCACGGAGAAGGTCTCGCGGGCGGCTGGTTCTCGCCGTGCGCAGCGTCGTCCTTGTCACCGAGGAGCTCCTGCCAGGGGGAGCGGTAGCCCTTGGGGATGGCGGTGACGTTGAACTTCTCCGGGGGAATTTCTTTCAGGGGGCCCGAGTACCCTGTGTGGGGGGAGAGATGGTGTGGGCTGCCGCCGCCGGGCTGAGGCTACATCCCGAGGAGGGGGAGCTGAGAACAGCCCTGCCTTTGCACGGCCGTGGAGGACCTGCTGCTGGGGGCAGGATTACGTA